GTATGTTATCGCTTCTGGCCAGCTCTCTTTAGTAGTATTGTGTGTCCCTTTAAACATGGATGCCATCAGTAATGTGCTGATGTGGGTCTTAAAGAAGTATCGTGACGTTCATCACCCATTGGGCTTTACCGGACTGGGCTCAGGCCTAATAGCTTAGCCTAGGGCCGAGTCAAGGCCCATTGGCTCGAGGCCTGCAGTTATTTCTGTGTTGAATGGTCAACGGCCTGGCAGCCTGGCCTGCTGATTGCCCTGACCTTCAGATGAAGTTTCTGATCTAGCATGAACCAACTTCAAAGACACATTACAGTCAAACTCCTCTGTCCAGCTAATCTGTGTTGATGCTCCATACAAAATGTTTTTCTCGAAAGTGATGAAAATTCATGAGCATTTTGATGCATTCATGTTGTCTTCCTGATGTTTGACAGATGCTGAAGATTAGCTCAGACTATTCTATCCTTGATCTCTGATGGTTTAACCCACCCAACCATATCATTTCACTGAGCCCATTTTGAATCCTTTCAGCTGCATAGTTGTAAATGAGTTTGTAGCACTAGGATGAAAATTGAGTAGTAAGTATTTTGAAGTCCATGAAATTCAACTTTAATGACAAGGAGCGGATAAATATTGAAGATTTGGTTAGAAGAATACCTTTTTTCTTACGCTTTAAAAAAATTGAGTATGTTACTAATACTGAAGCCGGATAGAGGCAATGCCATGCAATTTGCATTACCCGTCCGTATATGTAGTTTCTTGAATTTGTTTCCCATTGATTGTTTGGAGTGTGTTTGTTAGGAAGACTGGAAAACTTGATTTTGTGGTACTTCAATGCAAAAATTATCCCTGAATAAAGAAAATGTTATGTATTAATCTGTTCAGCAGCGTTGATGAGCTGAGGATACTTGGGGTACATCTTTTCTTTATTTATACATTTATTTTGTCATAGATTATATCTTTGGTGAATTGCTGTTGTAATGGAGGCTGAAACTTTTTTTTTTTTTTTTTTTGGGCCGAAAGAGGCTGAAACTTATGAGTGGTGGTCTCACGCTACTGAGTTTGTTTCCCCTGTTTACAGGCACTGGAAAAGTTTAAGTACGAGCAATCTCTCGAGTCTGTGCGGCACTTCATTGCTATTGCTGAGAAAGAATTGGAGCTCTACTACAGGCATATTGCACTTTACGGCGACCCAAATGACAGAAATCCCTTGTCAATCTTGGATAGTCCAACAGAAGAGACCAAGGAATCAGGGAACCTTAAAATACTTAGAAAGCAAAAACTAGATTCCACTAGTGGTTTCTTTTCCGCGGCTCTCTCAGGGACAGAAGCAGATTCTTCAAACTCCGAGCTATCAGAAACTGATGGTTCTGAACATGACAACTTATCACTAAGTGAATCAGATTCTGAAGATGACAAGATATATAGTTCTGCTGATGATGAAGCAAGCACCACGAAGACGCAACTGTTTGATTTTAAGCATGAGAGATTGGAATGTAGACAAGAAAATTTGATATGAATCTTTATTTTATTCTTTTTATTTTATTTTCTCCTCATCTTTGGAGCACTAAGGTAGGGTACCTGGTACCCTTGGCTTGTCCTCTTCCTCTTTTGTATATATTGAAAGGTAAAGATGTACAATGGAAAGACTTTTTCTTTTTTTCTTATATTTTTTTTATTGGTCGAAGAAGTATATTTGGTAGGTAAGGATGGGAATTATTGCTAATGGGCGTGCGAAAAGCAGTGATGTTTGGTATGGTTGTTAAGCATCAGAGATGTTTCAATTTTTTAAAATTTTTGGTCATAGAGATGTTTCAATTTAAGCAGATTTTATTCTCGAAATGTCATTTAACTTTTCCCACTTTAGCCAGTTTTTATCCAAAGCCATTGATTAAAAGACAAGTTACCTATTTCTCTTACGATTCCTACAACAATTTCAATTTTTGGTTATTAGATGTTAGTTTTTAGTTTTCATTTTTCATTTTTTTTTAAAGTTCGGTAACTAATTTTAGTTTTCAAAAAAACTGAAAACTAAACAAAAGTTGTTTGGCAATTTATTTCAGTTTTATGTGGAACTTGGAAATGCAATTTTTTGAGGTCAAATTGTGAATATGATATCATAGAATGAGAGTGTATGTTACAAAGAGTTCGTAGTATTTTTTAGTGAATTAGGCTGGATTTTTTTATTATTAATTTTGGATATGTAGGTCCCAACACTTGGACTGGATTGGTGGCCAAACACAAGAATCGAGCAGCTGGCTTCAAGTCGGGAGGTCCTAAATACCGATTTTTGGTAATTGTAGTGCATTTCATGTGTCGTGATGTAAAATTAATGAATGAAAAACAAAATATGTTACCAAACATGTTTTCAATTTTCGAAAAAAGTGAAGTGAAAATGAAATGGTTATCAAACAACCCGTTATTGTTCTTTTTTAGAGAGCACATCCACGAATTTGTGTTGCCACGTGTCTAGGTCACAAGTTTCTATATATCGAAATTGTGAATGCAAACTCCGAATGCAATGCATAATATTCATAGGAAAATGCTAGGGAGATCACATTTTACATACCACTTTGTATAGCACCTCTCTAATAGAGCTGGAACCCATTGTATTAGTTGACTCCACCTCTATTAAAGAGGTGGTTAGTACACAATGTGATATATAAAATGTGATCTCCTTAGCATTACCCATATTCATATATAGTTATGCACACTGTAATACAATGTCATATGTATCCATTAAGGTGTGTAGTTGCGATGAAACAAATAGCCACAAAAACACACTAAACATTTGGTTGATATGGTAATAAATTTTGTAGATTTTACTTAAGTTTGTGTATGAATATGAGAACTTACAAAAAAAAGATTAAGACCAATTTGGAATCAGCCCCGTGATTTGAGGATGTTATCTAATTTCTACATACATAATTTGGGGTGATTTTATATAATTGGTACATATAATATATTTTTTGTTTTTTACAATACGATATTCTAAATTATTATAACGTACGGAAAAATGAATCGAATTCAAATGTAAGGAGACGAACACATTGCTTTAACAACTCAAATATGCATGCATATAATATACTTTCTACATATAATTTGCTTCAACCTTAGAATACCAGTTTCAAGCCGCATTGCATTGAAAAGTAATACCACGAGCTATTAACCAAATCCATGTTCCAGCTCATGCCAAAGTGGTGCACACCATGCCCGCCTTTTGTATTTGGACTCTCATATGGCACTTTAGACTTTTGCTTGATAATGAAAATTTTCATTTCCTTTGACCAAAAAAAAAAAAACGCAACTAGTACTAATCTAATGCCCTCTATTTATTTTTATAATAATAGGGCAATGTAAGTTGTGAAAAAAGTTATTTACATTAACACCCATGAGGTTTTCAGTTTTTTTCACAAAATTCCTTGAGGTTTTAGAAATTATACGAGTACCCACTGAGGTTTCAAAGTATTTTCATAAAACCCCTTTATGTATTTTTTGTTCAAAGAATGATAATTTTATATTTTAAAAAAAAATTCTCCAAATGCAAAAGTTAGCCTTTAAGATTAGATTGCACGGTTAAATTTGTCATTTACATAAGTTTTTTTAATTATAAAATCATTAATTTTTTTGACGAACTATCAACGAAAATGAGTTTTGTAGGAGGTGTTCGTGTAATTTGTGAAACCTCAATGGTTTGTGAAAACACCGAAGACCTCAAAGGGTGTTAATGTAAATAACTCATTGTGAAATGAATAAATAAAAAAAGTACACGTGTGTTGCATAGCATGTGATGTACTACGTGCTTTCCTCAGCTCATGATGTGCTTAGGAAAATCCAACCACAATACAACATGAAATCATCAAAACTTAAACAAAAAGATATGATATTGTTTTGTTCAAACTCCTTTTCTCGTTCTTTGTGTGAAACCATATACTGACTGACTTACGCCATAACTATTGGCTGAGAGTTCCAGCCGAAATAATCTGTGTGCACAAATTATAAAGTACCAAACCCTTTCAAACTTGTATTCTATTTAAGATTTATTAAAAGTGAAACCAAATAAGAATATAAGTCCACTTATCCAAGGACAAATAAACTAAACAAAAAATGGAAAATGCTTCAAAAGATTGAGAAAGAAGAGGTGGATAGTACTTACATTTCAGCAACCCAAACTTGACCATGACACCACACTCCCCCCCGGCCCCCTACAACAAATACAATGCGCTAAGAAACGTAACAGACAAACCTATTTTCCATCTCACAAATCCCACACAAAAAAAAGTCTTAAATCCCAAATAAATTATCCATAAACAAAACCTATATCAATCTCACAAATCCGTTGACAAAAAGGGACATTAGTGAATTGAGTAATTAATTAATGAAAAAGGATGTTTTTAACCTTTTTTTTTTCCTCCTTTGTTGGGCTCAGTATCCCAAGTGGGCCCCACACAATGAGAGAAATTAATTACCCACCAGAATCAAGGCAATAGGATTGAAACGGTAGTTAGGTTAATTTCACCTATAATATTTTTTTTAAGACTAAAAAAAAGATTATAGATTTATATAAATAAAATTAAAAGGAAAGATAGATAATAGTGAAAATATTTAGAATATTCCAAATCAAAATATCATAAAATGCAATTAATTAATGAAAATATTAAGAGTTTAAACATTAATTAAATGAAAATCATATAATCATTTTAAAGTTTTTCATATTAAAAATATTTAATAAAAAATAAAATCAGAACATAAATATTATTTTTATGTAACACAACTAGATTTATTTTAACTTTTTAAAAATTTTAAAATAAAAAACTAAAATAAAATAAATAAATAAACAACCACACGTGTGCCAAGAGATTAGTAAATTATTTGGAAAATTTTAATTTTGTCACAATCCTTTCTTTTTTAAGGTCTCCTCATAAAATCATAATCCATTTCACTCCAAATTATCATAATTTAATTTTAATTTTATTAGAAATCCTAATCCTTCCTTTTTAAGGCTTCCTCTCATAATCATAATTCATAATCCATTTTATATTCGGATCATCCTCTTCCTCGGTTTCTCGCACTCCTATAAATACTCCCCCCACCTTCCATCCCCATTCTCTCTCTCTCTTAATATTTCCCTCACCATCCACCAAACCCTTCTCTCTCTTCTCTCTCTGCTCTCTCTCTGTCTCTCTCTCTTTAACAGCTATGGCTAACAATGGCGTACCGGCGACCGGAAAAGGACTGATCGTGAGTTTCGGCGAGATGCTGATCGACTTTGTGCCCACCGAATCGGGCGTTTCGCTGGCCGAGGCGCCGGGCTTCCTCAAGGCCCCCGGTGGTGCCCCCGCCAACGTGGCGATCGCTGTGGCCCGCCTCGGCGGGAAGGCAGCGTTCGTCGGAAAACTCGGCGACGACGAGTTCGGCCACATGCTCGCCGGTATCCTGAAGCAATACGGCGTCACCGGAGAGGGCATCCTCTTCGATCAGGGCGCCCGCACCGCCCTGGCCTTCGTGACCCTACGCGCCGACGGAGAGCGTGAGTTCATGTTCTACCGCAACCCTAGCGCCGATATGCTGCTCAGGCCCGACGAGCTCAACTTCGAGCTCATCAAATCCGTACGTTTTCTCTGTCTGACTTTTTTTTTGTCTGCGTTTTTTATTTTTGTCGGAAAATTTGGAGGGAGGAGGGTGCGAGGGTGAGGGTGGGCGTGATAATCTCACCAGCCGTTGACGGAACAGTTATCGCTGACTTTTGACACGTAAGCACGACCGCCCTGGGACCCAAGACTAGATCCAGGATCCACTGGATCTTACTCACCACCACCTCTCGGCACCCGTAATTTTCTGATGTGGGGGTGGGTCCCGCTTATTACAGATCTATTAGTAATGTTAGTACAAAACATAAATAAATAAATAAATAAAAGAAAATAAAGTTTGGCAGCGTGTGGATTTGGGAGCGTCTGTGTTTTCTTTCATCACACGTTCTGGTAAGGGAGTGGGGGTTGTGATCTAGAGCGTCTTTTGTTTACTTAGACCAGATGTCTCCCCACGCGCACCAACACAACGTCTTGCGTGAAATATGACTTTTCAAATCATTTAAAAGAAATAATTGTTGAAATTTTTACCCAAAAAGACGAAAAAAAAAGTGTTGAAATTTTGGTGGTCATTTTATTTTATTTTTATTTGTTAAATTACAAAAGAGTAACCCATCATCACAGCATGGGAAATGATATCAATGTTTATATTATTTTTCCACTTTTTTCTCTTTTTCTTAGTCCAATGAGGGAAACGAGTCCCATCACTCCTTTTCACTGTTTTTTTTGGGTTACATACGCATATGTTTTTAATTGAAATTTCCATCACTTGTTTTCACTTTATTTTTTTGGTTACATACGCATATGTTTTTAATTGAAATTTTGGTAAGGGGCCCTACTGGTTTATGTTACCCAAATCCAGCTTTAGCAAGCATGTGCCATGATCAATTCTATGTAAAAATATGTGGATATGGTTGTTTTCTAAGACTAATTTTGGTTTTGTATATATTTATATAGGCCAAGGTGTTCCACTATGGATCCATAAGCTTGATTGTGGAGCCATGCAGATCAGCCCATCTAAAGGCAATGGAGGTGGCCAAAGATGCCGGTGCATTGCTCTCCTACGACCCGAACCTACGGCTGCCGCTGTGGCCGTCTGCGGAGGAGGCACGCAAGCAGATCATGAGCATATGGGAGAAGGCTGATGTGATCAAGGTTAGTGATGTGGAGCTTGAGTTCCTCACAGGGAGCCCTAAAATTGATGATGAGAATGCATTGACTCTTTGGAAGGACAACTTGAAGCTCCTCCTCGTCACTCTTGGTGAGAACGGTTGCAGATACTACACCAAGGTCAGTTCATTTTTTCTTGCACTAGCATTGTTGTGTAGTTTTGACAAAGCGATATTCTAAACTAATATAATGTCTGGGGACGGGGATCTAACTTGAGTGCAAGCGACGCACACTGTTTTGACCAACTAGCCTAAATCACATTTGCATTGTTGTATAATTAATTCCGACTTTTTGTTGCTTTGGTCATTGGGGTTAGGTAGAGTTAGGTCATTCTTATGATTTTGGTTTGTGGACAAAGGAAGTTGGATTAGTGGGACCCATATCTCAGTATCCCCTTTTTTTTCTTCCGTTAGTGGGACCCGTATCTTAATATATGTTGATCTGAAAGGAATCATATCGTGATCTATTGATTTGAATATTAAAAAAATAGAAAATAACAACAGAACCTTTTCAAAATAACAAAAGAAATTGGAAAGTGGATTTGAGTTATTTGTTCTTTATTTTGTTGACAACTTTTGGAATTTGGTGCCAGCGTGTTTTGGAATTTAGTATGTTTTTATAGATAGGGGTTTGGAGGTATTGTATTCTCTTTAATGTGGGGGGGGAGGATGGGCTGCTGGGTGGTTGAGTTTTATATATTTATTTATTGCTTTTGTTTAATGGAATCTACGCATGGAAGGGGACTTAAGCATGATGCAAATCAACACTCCCTTGTAAATTAACTCAGTTGCAAATATGTG